GATTAATTATTTGGTTCAGCTGCTTCTAATAATCCATCTTCCATCTTCTCTGCTAGCAGCCCAACTGCTTCTCTCGAGAGCTTTCAGAGCTTCTCACTCACATTACAGCCTTGTGTTCATTATTACACCTGATTCTGTCATTTCCTAATGAGATTAACCCAGACTGGCTTATCGTTCAGTTCATATGTTGTACATAAATTAACTTTTGTAATACAAAGGACATTTTATTGTTTTAAACATTTGAGTAGAAAAAAGTAATGAGGGCAGAAGTTTGTCTCTCTGATCTGATTGCAAAAAATGCTATGCAATCCATCTCTGTCCATTTATATTAAATACTGGATACTGAATACTGGACTGTGAGGGGGAAAAACTAAAATTAATGTAATTAATGTAATAAAGTTTATTTATGTAGAATCAATGTTTACAAATATCAGAATCTATATTTCAGTGCGCCTTTCACTTCTCCCTCTTCATTCTCTCCTCTCTTATCTGTCTTATTACAGACTGTAGAACTGAATAAAACAGCCTGGAGATTTCATGCTTGAGGCGACAAGTTACACATGAAAAACTAAAAATAACTTCAAGAAATCAAAGCTTTCATTCTCTGATCAAAGTCTTTGTTCATTATCTGACCATTACAAAAATCTGCTTTCTTCAAATGTTATCCATGTATCAGCTTTCAGTAGGAGTAAATGTACTTTACTTACCAATTTCTCACCTGTGCAAAACAAAAGAAAGAAACATAATGTTGGGTAAAACATCTAGAACATCATTGACAATAAGAATACTTGGGAATCGCTTTGACTTCTTATCAGACATCTCCTTTTCTCATCTGTACTGCAGTTTTTCACTCAATGCTTTCAGTACAACTCCATGAAGATGTTCAGCTAAACAGTTAGAAGTGTAAACCTACAGCAGAGACTCAACTCTTACAGAAATGGTTCTATTTACAACATTAAATACTTTATGGAGTGTTTTGTCTCTCTTAATAGTCAGTCCTGTGTTCATCCATCAACAACAGAAACTCATGTGTGACATTATTTTAGAGGAAAAGCCAGTTACAGAAACACAAAGCTTAAAAAAAAAAAAGCATTCCACACTGACTTATACTCACCTCTAGGTGTTTCTTTCTCGGAACGCTCCTGTGAAGTGAATAATATAACGTGTAGATTTCATGCGTTGAACCATAAGTGAATTATTACATGTGAACATTAAGAATGTTAGAAATGTAACAACATAGTGGATAATGTATGTTTATGTAATATGTTGTCTGAGAGATTCTGCAGATTGAAAAAGAGAAGCTGATCATTCTTAAATGAAGTGAATGGAAGTGAAGGAGATGAGAGGATCTCAGTAATCAGGTCTTTCAGAGCTGCTGACTCTTCATTATTTGCTGCTTGTTGTGAGTCACTGATATAGAGACTCATCAAACAGGCAGATAGTGTATGTGAGTGTGTGTCAGAAGCTCCTGCTGTGTGTGTTCTGGGCTATTTTCAGTAATGGAGGAGAGGAAAACTACAGTAATGAGAGACACTCTAATGATAATGATGTACTGATGATGAACGACTCAAATATTCCATCATCACATAAGAACAGTGACATCACTCCCAACAGAGCCAGACTGCTTTTATTTGTTGTGTCTTTTTCTCATCAGTGAGCTTCACTGTCTCTACATTTCTGCAGTGCAGTGGGATTATGCACAGGAGCATTGTGGGAAGGAAGGAGGGAGATGAAGTCAAAAGCTTTCATTCTGAGATCAGAGACTTTGTTCATTATGTGAAATTTGCCTGAAACCAGCAGAGAAAGAGGAAAACAGTTATTTGCTTACCAGGTCGACTGTGGAATAAAAACAGAAGGAAAGACAAAGTTAGTCAAATCTCCAGGAGAAATATTTCAGAATATTTCAGTCTTTAACTCTTTATCTCCTTATCAGAAATCTCTTCTTATCTTTCCTTTAGTTTTATCCTGCACTACAGACCTGACACATAATGCTTTCAATAATAATTATCTTATTTATATAGCACCTCTCATACATTAAAAATGCAGCTCAAAGTTCTTTACAGTACAAAGTAAAAATAACAGAGGAAGAGGAGAACTCCATGAAGTATTCGTATATGTTTACTATTGTAGGCTTTCTTATTTTGTTTAAATTTGCATTATCTGTCCTTTTGCAAAAATACAAGTAGAACTCAAATGAAGTGTAACACAACATAATTCAGACACTTGCAGATAAAAATGGAAAGAGAGGCTTTACTGTTTGAATCGAAATCCAGAATCATAGTCAGTACACAGGCACAGGTCAAATCAAAAAAGGTGTGACAAAGCAGACTCAAAGTTGTGAGGGATCCATGTGCAGGTGTTTTAATCTCAGGGCAGTCCAACACTCACAGTAAAAAAACCCAAGGCAAAAATGTCATAACAGAGCATCAGTCCAAAGGGCCAGGCAGACAGAGCAAAAAGGACAAAAGCAAAGGCAGATTCCAAAAAGTCAGGCAGAAGTTCAAAACACCAGAGGGAACACTGGCCAGCTGAGTTAGGGGAGTATTTAAGGTGAGACTGATTAGTGAGATAATGAGGTGCAGGTGGACTGATCCTAGGAGCAGGGTTAGTACTCGGGAGAGAGAGACCTCTGGTAACCAGATAGTGAATCACTGACAAAGGCCACCAAAACTTATTCCTTACCAGACTTAAAGTGCGTTGGATACCAAGATGCCCTGAGCCTAGAAATCCATGTACCCAGTTGATTAATGTAAAACGAAGGGCACAGGGAAAATAAATGTCACATGGGCAGTCGGTGGGTGTTAGATCAGACGCTTGTGTCGGTTGTGTTTGATCCATGATTTCCAATCTTATAGGTGCCACTATACAAGTGGAGGAGATGACTGTTTCATCACTGACTGGGGCATGTTCTGGCTCGTGGAGGGGAGAGCAAGTATCCACTTTGGCATTCTTGGATCTAGGTCTAAAGGTGTGAGTGAAGTTGAACCTGGTGAAAAAAGAGAACCCACCAGACTGGACATGGGTTTAAACGCTTGGCTTCCTTTATGTATTAGAGGCTTCTGTGATCAGTGAGAATCATGAATGGATAAAGCCACCCCCCAACCAATGCCTCCATTCTTCCAATGCAGCTTTAACTGCTAGTGATTCTCTGTTGCCAACATAGTTTTGTTTGATGGCGGTGAGCTTTCTGTAGTAGAATGCACATTTTCGCAGGTGTACCATGGCGTTGTGAGAGTACAGCCCCTATCCCTGGGTCAGAAGTGTCTACAATGAAAATGTTGGGTTGGGTCTGGATGTTTCAGGATGGGGGCGGTAGTAAATCTGGACTTTAGTTCCTTGAAGGCTCCATTCCATTTCAGAGATTTGGGTTTTCCTCGTAACAAGGATGTCAAGAGAGTGGCAATTGAGCTGAAACCATGACTGAATCGTCAATAAAGTTGGCGAACCAAAGAAACCTTTGTATTTCTTTGACAGAGTTGGGATTTGGTCAGTCCGTAACAGCTTTCACTTTGTTAGTGTCCATCTACACCCCTTGAGTACTAATGATGTAACCCAAAAAGGAAATCACAGATTTCTGGAATTCACACTTCTCAAGCTTTACCAAAAGCAGAACTTGTAGTCATTTCAGTATGTGTCTGACGTGTGCGATGTGAAACCACAATAATCAATGCATGGTCTCAACCCTCCTTCTTTTTTCTCAACAAAGAAAAACACTGCTGCAGCTGGGGAAGTAGAGGGATGGATGTGCCCTCTTTCTAGCGCTTCTTGAATGTATTCGTCCATCACAGCAGTTTCCGGAATGGAAAGGGGACTTCACTCTTAGGAGGGGTGGTACCTGGCAACAAGTCTATGGCACAGTCCCAGGAACAATGAGGTGGTAACTGCGCAGCTTCGGTTTTACTAAAAACCACAGAAAAGTCGGAATACTCAGCAGGGAGCAGGACTTGCTTTTGCGTGTCTGGGCTCTCAATGGAAGTGGTTAGGCATGGAAGGGCCAGAAAGTGGGTGTGGCAATTAGTATTCCAATATGTGAGATCTCCTGTGGCCCAAGAGAAGGTTGGGGTTGTGGGTGGCTGGCCATGGGTATCCCAACACAATGGGATGTTCAGGGGAGTCTATGACAAATAATGATGCTGTTTCAGTATGGAATAAACCAATGGTGAGTTTCAACAGGATAATGGCATCCGTACTGGCACCTGTGCCGATGGGTCAATCAATATCAATATACCATGTTATTCTCACTAGGACAACAAGTGTACGACTTTGAACCAATGGCATGTCATTAGCACTCTTTTCAGGGCTTTAAAATTCTCCCAGAAATGGCTCTTTTCCCCACAATACAAACAAAGTTCTTCCTTCCAGGAGATGATCCTAACCCAACCCAGCTTCATGTTCTCCGATTCAGTGGAGGGGGGAGTTGAGATTGGGATGAAACCTGCCACGTGAATGGATGAGGTTGTCTAATTTTATTGATAGTTTAATCAGTCCGTCTAAGCTAAGAGCATCATCCTTGCAAGCCATTTCAGATTTCAGCGCTTCATTAAGGCCATTGCGGTAAACGGTTTTTCAAGTCGTCATTCCAGCCACTTTCAGCTGCCAACGTGCGAAAGGCGAGTGAATAAGCCGGGCTTTTCCCTTATTTGATGGGAAGGAGCTGTTCTACTGGGTCCTTACCAGTGCATGAATGATTAAACACCTCCTTAAACCTTCGTTCAAACAGGGAACATGTCTGCATATCAGGAGATTCCAAACAGCAGTGGCCCACCTCAGTGCTTTTCATGTGAGCGGAGACAGAACAAACGCCATTTAAGCGTTATCTAATGGAAAAGCTGTTGGCAAATGGCTGAAATAAAGTGAGAACACAATCAAAAAGCCCTGACATAAATCAGGACTTCCATTGTACTTGTCTGGGATGGACAGTGGAGATGATAATGGTGGATGGCTTGTGATAGGAAGGGGGGCTGGGGTGGAGCTGGAAGGCGCAGCCGTGGGTACTGATTGTGGCTGCAGGGCTCTGATGGAGCGAATGAGCGCTTTTGGGAAACGAACCCAGAATGATCAGCACAGTAAAAAGCCTGACATGCTGCTTAATGGGTCTGATTTGAGCTGTTTTCAGCTCTCAGTTCTCCACATAAACCTGAAAACGTGTTGATGGTGTTTGAGTATTAGGCTCTCCTGAAGCTCCGACTCCTGACTGTTACAATAGAGATTCATCTTTTAGTCTTTCATTCAGTTTATTCATTAGTTTTCCTTCAGCTCATGATCCTCATTTATGAAGCTTCATAACACAAAACTTATATTCTTATATTTACCTTTCCTTAATGATTTATTTACTATGATCCTTCATGATCTGTTCCTGACTGACACTGTATTAGTTAATAATAGTTATTATCAGTTAATCTTTTAGTTGTTTTATATTAGATCGATTACATCCATGAAAAAGAGGATTTACAAACTTGAGGAGAGTTCAAATTTAGCAGTACGCTAGCTAGCCAGTTGACATCTAAAGATGATATGCCATGTTCTGGCTGAGGTATTTCTAAAAAACAAAATGCACAGGACAGCTATAACTTCTGTATATAAACAAAAATGAGAAATATGTAGCAGCCAGGATTCAAAATAATATCAAAATAAAAGCATTACACACTGACGTATGCTCACCATTCGATTCTTTTCTCCATGAACTCCGCTGTGAAGTGAATAACATAATGTGAAGATTTCATGTATGGAATCATAAGATAATTATTATATTTAAATATTAAGAAAGCTGGAAATGTAACAACACAGTGAATGTGGATGATGTTGCACTGTTGTTCGGAGGGCTTTCTTTTCTTTATGACTATCTGATACAGACTGACAGTGTTATGTTTTAGAATTTGATATTTCTGTTTCAGTATTTTATCTACTACTGTAATTTTATCTTCCTGCAAGGCTGTATTATAATTCATTGAAGATATGTATATGAATGTGTCTCTGTGGGTCTTTAAAAGAGGTCACTGTTGTTTGTAAAGAGATTAATATTCTGGTTCAGTCCAACTGCTTTTCTCTAGAGCTTTCAGAGCTTCTCACTTACATTACAGCCTTCTGCTCATTATTATACCTGAGATTCTGAGACTCAGACAGGCTAGTATTTGATTTTTTTTTTTTTCTCATGTCTAACTTTTAGAATACAAAGGCCATTTTATTGTTTTCAACATTTGAGTAGAAAATAGCAATGAGGGCAGAAGTTTGTCTCTCTGATCCGACTAAAAATGCTAAGTAATCCATCTCTGTTCATTTGAATAAAATACTTAAGATACTGTTGTATTAGTTTGTTAAACATCCAGAGATGAATAAACATGTCTAGCCCACTGAGTGACGGAGGAAAATGTCATGCCTCCCTCTGCTGTGGCTAAGAGGTGAGGAAGTTTTCTAAAAGCTTTCATTCTGAGATCAGAGACTTTGTTCATCATGTGAAATTTACCTGAAACTCAATATTATGTAGCTGCTTGATGTCTGTATTGAATGTAGTTGATGTGATAAGAGTATAAAATCAGTCACTACCAGCAGAGAAAGAAGAAAACATAGTATTTACTTACCCCCATTGCTGTGAAATAAAACAGAAACACAAAGTTAATATTTTTACTATTATAATACTTCAGTCTTTTTAACTCTTTATCTCCTTATTATAATCTCCTTTTCTCATCTGTACTGTAGTTTTTCATTGTTCACTACTGCACTGTCACTCAATGCTTACTTACCTTTTCAGCCTAAAACTCACTCATTTGAAAACCAACCCATCACATACTTAAAGTTGTACATGAAAATACACTAACCCCATGTTTTATCATGACTGAGATTTTAAAATTTAGTTTCAACATCATCTTTTATATACATAATTGTTTTTTGTTTGGTTTCAGGTAAGAAGAGTTTTACTGAATAGATTTTCAGCTTCTAAGTCTATACAACTGTTATTGAAATGCAGAAGAGTGGGATGTGGAGGGAGAGGAAAGAAGACTGAAAACATTTAATAATAGCAGTAATGAGGATTTCCATTTGACACTTTTTGATCACTTTCTGTTAGTGTTTTGTTCTTTTTTATTATTGTTTAATTTATAAAGTCTTATAATTTTATAAATTAAACAATAATAAAAAAGATGTGTAAATCCTCATACTAAATAAAAAATCCTCATACTAAATAAAAAAGTAGCAACTGCACGTTTTGAAGGTTAAAAAAAAAAACTGGGCGACAATATACTAAAACAATTCTACAAATAACTGGGCTGAGCTACAGATCTGCACATGCCCAGCCAACACCCCTGACTGAGACTTGCCTCTTCATTGATGAACTCCACCCCGCAGACAAGTCTAAACAGCGCGAGTCCACAGATACGACTGAAATGTGAACAAAGATGCACAGTTTCGGTTTTATCTCCTCACTACGCGCAGCTCAACTCTGAACACACCCCTTTTAGTGTCTGTAGTTTGTGGATCTGCAGCTTTAATTAGTTAAGAACAGGATTTTTTGTGAGGGTGATTCAGCTGCCGATAGTGACGTCACATATTACATATAATATTTTAATAATAACATATATATAATGTGTGTTAAATCAATGATCTGACTGTAGTCTGTAGATTTGACTGGATGTTTAATCAGTCTCACTTTTATGTTCCAATTTTATTTTTTCATCTAAAATATTTATTTAGTTCTTACAAAAGTTTTTTTTAATTTAGCTGCAGTTGTAAGTTTTCCACTGTGCAGTCATGATGTGGAGGTTTAGTGTCAGAGTGAGAAACAGAGTCACTGTTTTTTCTACTGAAATGCTCCATCTGTCCTTCACTCCACATTAACATCATTTATCCTCTGTATGTTTTACCTCCTTTATCTGAACACAACACCATTCTGAACATCTGTGTTTCTCATTTCTGTCTTTTCATCTTTCATTCTGAGACGCTGATGATGATGATGAGTTTATGTAGAGTGAACTTCTGGAATACTTACCGTCCCTCATTTCTACTGTACACTCCTCTGTTGTGTCTCCATTGGTGACCTGACACAGATAATCTCCTCTATCTGACTCATCTACAGTCTCTGATCTGTAAGGAGACGTTTCCTCTCTGCAGCTCCTGAGTGAACAGACTCACTCTGCCCTCGTAGGCCCCTCCCCTCTGTCACCTGCCTGTTCTTATAGAGACAAACACAGTCCGTCCCCTTAAACCACCTGATCTCCATGGCAACAGCACTGATTTCAGGAGACAGGTGACAGGAGAGAGTGACCGCAGAGCCAGGCTGATGCTCTCCTAAGGAAGCACCACGGGGTCCAATGAGGTTAAACTCAGCTGTGTAAAACAAACACACACACACACACACACACATTAATAGTTGTGTCTCGTGTGTCTCCACAATAAAAATAAACTCTCTGATTGAATATTATTTAATGATGTTCACAGTAAAACCTTTTGTAGGTTCTGGAAGTTTAACTTACTGTTTCTTGCAGCTGCCATTTTTATCTCTTTATCTCCTCCTACAGATTCACACTAATACAATCCTACAGAGAGAGAGAGAGAGAAAGAGAGAGAGAGAGAGATTTAGAAACAGTTTCACTCAATATGCTTCCTTTCACAGCTACACACTCAAATCATTGCACAGCTATAAAAATTGTTTAAAGTATATTTTGTGTTACAGTGATCTTTATCATGATTAGCATGATGCTAACTGCTCTTACCTTTGCTGTTCTTCATACAGTCTACATTATAAAGCAGTTCATATCAAGATTCTGGGCGACAACATACCAAAACAATTCTACAGTAGCTGGGCTGAGCTACAGATCTTTCACATGCCCAGCCAACGCCCCTGACTGAAACTTGCCTTTTTATTGGTGAATTCCCGCTCCGCGGACAAGTCTGAACAGCACGAGTCCCCAGATAGGACTGAAGTATGAATAAAGATGCGCAGTTCAACTCTGAATACACCCCTTTTAGTGTCTGTAGTTTGTGGACCTGGAGCTTTAATTAGTTAAGAACATGATTATTTGTGAGAGTCAGTCAGCAGCCTGTAGTGATGTCACACATTAAATATAACATTTTAATAATTAATATATATGTTGTGTGTTAAATCAGTGATCTGATTATAATCTGTAAATTTGAATTTGATTTTCAACTGTTACAGTTGTAAGTTTTCCACTGTGCAGTCATGATGTGGAGGTTTAGTGTCAGAGTGAGAAACAGAGTCACTGTTTTTTCTACTGAAATGCTCCATCTGTCCTTCACTCCACATTAACATCATTTATCCTCTGTATGTTTTACCTCCTTTCTCTGAACACAACACCATTCTGAACATCTGTGTTTCTCATTTCTGTCTCTTCATCTTTCATTCTGAGATGCTGATGATGATCATGATGAGTTTATGTAGAGTGAACTTCTGGAATGTTTACTCTTCACTTGTTTTACTTTTACTGTACACTCCTCCATTGTGTCTCCATCTGTGACCCGATACAGATAATCTAAAGACTAGGCGTGTTCGACTTAACCCATCGGAGCGTCACGAGGACCTACAGCGGTATAATCTCACGAGGCGGCTGCAGGTTTCAGAGCCAGTCGCTACAGTTGCTTCTCATAAATATACATATATCAAACATTGTCAAGTGTAGCACAAACAAAGGAGACTATTTTTGTGTGATTTAGACATTTATGGGGGCTGAGTGATTGATAATGAAATATTTAATTTCTCTATCACTGCCAGCACAAACAACGATTCCTACGGCACAAACGCAGCACAACTGAATAGTATTTTTTTTCTCATTTCTGACCACATGGTGGGCCAGCTTCACAGAGGTCTAGTTTAATGCCCCATGTTGGGATAAAGGGGAACTAAAGAAGCTACTAGAGTGCATGATTGTACTTACACAATGAAGAAAGTTACACCTTGACAGTGTTTAAAAAGTTAAGAAAGAAACTTTGCTAACACAGAAAAGCTTTTTAAAAATTACAACAACAATAATAATAGCAGTAACAACTGCTAATAATACTGTTAATAGTAATAGAAACAAAAATAATAATTATTATTATTGCTGCGTTTTGCAGCTATAAGGCCAGTGTAGCTCATGTAAACCTACCCCAGCGTTTGGCACTGTGTAAACTGCATGCCTAAATCATCACCCACATCTCAAACCACACTAAGTTTGTTAAGCAGTCTCCAGTAAACTTATGTGTTGCTTACAGTTATTTATAAAACTGGTTTTTAGCTGTGTGCTGCACTTTCATACATTTTTATACATTCTGAATACCTAACAGGTATTCAGGATAGAGAGTTATTGATTCTGCAGATACGTTATTTGTATACCTCCAGATCTGTGATGCAACACCATTTCTTTCTGACTGACGGTTACAGCCTGTCGAACAGTAATTACAAGTTAAAAATTAAGACGTTTTACATACTTATGCACGTTTCCCCCCGAGAGAACAGCAGATTCATCTACATGAGAACAGTAAGTAACAGCATGTAAAGGAGTTCGTCCTAAATCATCGGCCATGTTAAACCTGACACCAGCCAACTTTCACACCTCCATCTTTTCTGCTCGCCCCAGGAATGCAAGACTGAACAAACAGTTTTCCTGGAATATGTCTCAATGCTATAAACTGCAGTATTATACGCAAATAAACACAAGCCAACTGCTAAAGATTTGTTTAAAGGTGTGGTGACTGGCATGAGTGGTCAGTGCAGCCCTTAATTCCTAGTTAATAAAATCCAACTTATATTAATAATGTCTGAACATCTACGGAATAAATTACATACTTTTCTTATTTATGTTTCGAACACGCATAAAATTATAAACATTTCACTGATGTATATTGTGACTGTCAGACTAAAAACTTCCCCAAAATGACAATTTTACAGAAGAAGAAAAATATATTCTTAACTTGTAATTAAAGTTACTGTAATAAGATTTTTCATTGAATAATTTTGGACCATTTGATCCATTCACCATGACATTTTAACACAGTCCTAATGATAATTGTGACTTTCAAACAATGTATAAAAGTAAAAAATAAAAAAAATGAAAAATGGAGATGTAAGAAAATACTGTAGATGGTAACTTCCTATTCAACTCACCAGCGCATTTCTGCCACGAGTTCCACAGGGGTCATCTCCAGGTGAGCCCCATTAGCCACCAAAAACCGTACCAGCTCCTTATTCCTATTCATCTGAAAAGTTTAGTGAAACAGCATCTAACTCATCTAAACATCAATTATCAATTACCACACTAAGAACATATGACCTGCATATTGATGTAGGCCCCAGTGGCTGACGGATAACATGATCACATAGCTCATTACCGTATTTTATTTATGGAATGCATGTAAAAATCCAGCTGAGCTACTGATCAAGTATTTCGTCAAAGATAACAGGTAGTCAATAAAAACACACTTACAGGAAATGAGTGAAACTACCGATGCTTTTGAGAGATTATTCACCGCATACTTGCTGCGAATGGCATCTCGAAGTGGGGCGTTTCTGTCAGCATCTGTTTTGTTGACATTAGCTCCCTTTTCTAGCTGAAAGTGCATCACCTCCAAATGCCCATTTCCTGCTGCCACGTGTAGTAGAGTCCTGCAGAGCCAATCTGTAACCGACACATCTGCACCCTCAAACAAGAAATCATGAAAAGACAGTCTCGTGGAAATCTGAATTTTATTTGCTTTTTTGAAATAACCTGTAAATATAAACATTTTGAATGTTTCAGCCTTTACGGTTCACTCTCCAGCCCATTCTAAGAAACTAAGCAACAAAAACAGCCTGCTTTGAATTTATCAGATGTTATCAGTTAAGATGTCTCAGTGCATTTACATATTACAAATGCAGTTTAGACTGCCTATTCACAAACTGCAGACATTCTGTAGCAGAATTAGTCAAGTAAATATATGGGGAAATGAGTAAATGTTGTGCAGCTTTCCGAAGCATCCACACATCCTAAAGGAGTAGCTGAGGTGTGCCTATATCTGTATTTTACTTAGAATGCAGCTCAGCCAATCAGATTTTAGGACCGGAACTATCCGTTTTATAATGCAGAATCTAATGTGAGTTAAGGTGCCTGTAGAGAGTCAAAAGGTAAAGCCAGTCTCTTTGGGTTTACTTTGTACCGTTTTTGCTGCGCTCAGAGAAACCGCTGTGGTCTTTACATACACTAGCCTTTATCTTTTTAGAGCTAGAAAGCAATATATACATGTGTCTATATAATGTTCATTTCTGTTTTTTAAAATTTTACCCAATAAAATCTTTTAAATTTACTAAAGTTGCAAAATACAGTTTTTACAAGTGAAGGAACATCCAGAATAAGCTAAGCCATTGTTAATCTACACAAAAAACCAGGGTCCTAGTTATTTAGCAACTGTTGTTGTAGACCGTGTGAGCTAACTTAACTAGCTAACGGACGTCGTCTTATGAAATAACGTTAGCTGTGGCTAGCCAATTTATTGCTTATGGATTTACGTAGCTATCTCTTATAAGATATAATAAGATTTCAGCATAGACATTACCTTTCCTTACAAGGGGAATTTTTACACTTTCCATAAAGTAATCGTAAAACAGTTGTTTATATAAAAAATATTGTTAGCTAGCGAGCTAAGCTAGCAGGTTTGACAGCCGTTAACATTACGTTTTCTAGCGTTAGCTTAGTCAATAATAACAGTTACCCTTTTCTCGTCGTTGGTTCCGAGCTTACTCAGGCGAAGAGATGAAGCGACAGCAGAGTAAAATCTGCCACCGTCATCTACATCTGTTCTTCTCGAAAAGCCGTTGCCAATTTTCGAGAAAGTTTGTCGCCTCTCCCCAGTTGTGTGACCGCAGGCGGCGCTATTTCGCTGTCCTGTCCACACGCACGAGCGCTTTACGCAGACTACGTAAGCTACGCCGACGCCCTTGCGTTTCTCGTTCTGCTGCATTCAGCAAGCCTGACGATGACGATGGCAAATGCGTGTTTACGTTTTTTTATTTAGGAAGGCAAAACGCCAGGCACAATAAAAAATGTAAAATGTTAATACACACACTACACTTACACTACAACCGTCCAAATTATATGTTAAATTTTGTCAATCACACATAATACCTTAATATCATAACAAAACTGCTGAAAGAATTATATTACTCATCTTGTTCCTGTGCTAAACAGATAAGCTGTACCAGTTCTAGGCTGCTGCTAATCAGGCTTCATTCAGACAGCTCGGTAAAGTTAGGTTAATGTTGGATATTCAGCGGATATTAGCATTGTATCGTAACACGAAGTGTCGACTGACTCGATGCTCTGGTATCAAGCAGAACATCTGTAGTGACCCTTTTTCATGAAAGAAGAGCCAAGTAAGTGAATGACTGCACGTGACACGCCAATTAAATCTAATTTAATGAAGTTTGAGTTTTACATTACGTTTAGGTCACATCTTCTGTCAGTTTATTGGTCCGTTGCAAAGCAGAAATCTGATTATTGTCCGAATCATGTAGACCCAGAGTTTCCTATTTTCTGATTACTCAAGTAATCGTTGATCGGATTACTGACAAAATCTGATTTTCTACAGGTTTAGGATTACTAGGTGCGTGTGAGCGGCCTGGCACCCAAAAATATCTACCGGAAAGCTCTGTGGTCAGAAACTGACCATTGATGAACAGCTAGAGGATTCCTAATACAAATGATGCATTAGCAGATTTGCTACGATCTCTGACTTACTGAACAATGACACTGACCGGTATACAAACATAGCACCACAAACACCATGTTAGAGTCACTCAAATAATATCTGATTAACAGTGGTCCTGTGGCCAGAAACTGACCAATAATGGCTG